GACAAAAATCCTACTGGAATTTCTCTTGGCATTACTTTAGCCATGGTTTATAATTTTCACACATAATACTTTCATTTCAAAGAAATTCTAATTTCCTTCATGATTTTTCTTGTCACTTACGAATGATGTAGAAGTGTGTTGTTTACAAGTATGTTGCTCAGTGTCCAAATAAATATTTGGGTGACTTTCCCCATATATTTCTGTATTTTTTAATATACTTGCATTTTTTAAGAGAAAAATAGGGGCTGGCGAGATGGCTCAGTGGTCTAAAGCACCTACTTGGAACAAGCTTGGCAGAGCACAAGGACCACGGTTCAATCCCCCAGCACCACATGCCAGCCAGCCCCGCCCCCTGGTGGGCTGAGCTGGCCACACACACACACACACACACACACACACACTAAATAAATAAATAAATAAATGTTTAAAAAAAAATTAAGAGAAAAATATTTAGTATTATTTCAAGTGTGTGAAGTTTATAGAGACTTTTTCATAATCTAGAATAATTAGGTCATTTCTTTTCTTTCTTTCTTTCTTTCTTTCTTTCTTTTTTTTTTTTTGCAGAAGGCTGTCTAGTGGTTAATACACCATCTGTTGAATGATTATATTTTCTCCATCATGCTGTTGTCATGTTCCAGATGCATTTAAAAAGAACATGTGAAGGCTGGGTATACAGCTCAGTGGCATAAATGCCTGCCCAGCAAGCACAAGATCCTGAGTTCGATCCCTGGTACAGGAAAAAAAAAAAGATGTGTGTCTTTTTACTAGATAGACTGTTCATGAGAGTTCTAAAAAGTCAAGTTTTCTAATATAGTACTGCTGTTTATTCCATATCCTTACTGAAGTTTTGGTCGGATCCTCTATCAATTAACAAGAGAGGACCATGGAAATCATTACATTAGAAATGATAACTTTGCTTTTTACCCACTTTTTTAATCAGTTGACCAACTCTAATTTCTTTTTTTGCAACTTTAATATCTAATAAGTAGTGTTTGCATCTGTAAATCCTGTTGTAATCTAGGTTTGCCCTGTTTATAGAATACATATTATAGAAAAAAATATAATTAAGCCATACTTTGAAAAAATAGTCTAATACCATAATGTTAAGTGAAATAAATCAGACACAGAAGTTTGAATATAACATGGCATATGAAGAGGTAGAGTGGTAAGGAAAGGGATGCAAAGGGTTTTAAAAAATATTGAAATATAGTATATACATTTTCCAATACCCCACAAAGAATATAATCAGTATGCAATTCAAACATGTACTTTGAAAACATAAAAACTAAATAATAAATAAATATTAGTCTGATAACCTTTAACTTTAGTTGATACATTTAGACTTCATAAATTTTATAGAGTTATTGTAGTTGGATCTAATTTGGCTTTTGATATTTGCTGTGTGTTTAGGCCAACTGCTAGTCATACTTTCTCTTCCTACTAGGTCATTCTTTTGGATTGAATATTTATTTGAATTATATCTTATCTTTTATTTGATTTATTACCTTTACCTATTTTCTAAATGTTCTTTTAGCTTTTATTCTAGAATTTATAATATGCATCAGTAAATTATCATAATTTAATTTCAAGTCATATGTAATATATTGCCACTTTGTATAAAATGTGAGTACTTACCCTAAATATGCATACTGAAATGTATAGGGGTACAATAGCATGAAAGTGAAATTTGTTCTACAACAAATAGCAAACACAAAATAGTGAGAAAAGAATGGCAAAATCTCAATATGTATGAATGTGGCTGGTAGGAGTATAGGAGTTCATAAGTATACTCTTGACTTTTGCTTATGTTTGATATTTTCATAATACATTTCTCTAGAACTCTCCTGAAAATCCAGGGTAAAGGTTTAGAAATTTTTATCAGAGATTTCATAAGTGCTTTTTAAATGATCGCAAAAATACACATAAAAAGAAGAGTAGGAGTATGGCCATCTTCACAATGTTGGGTCTTCCTATGCAGAGCTGTGAAAGGCTCACATCAACAACTTCAGACAATTTTCAGTTGTGCTTATAACCACTACTTTTATGGACTATTGGCCTATATTGGGTTATTTTGTTGAATTCAAGTACAGTCTTTGGTCTGGCATCAAGTATGAAAAAGTCCTTTAAAGACTTCTCCAAATACAGCTTCTCTAACAGCAATGGAACACTCATTTCTGACAAAACAAAACAAAAAAGGGAGATAGAAATAAAGGACTGGGTTTGTGTGTGTGTGTGTGTGTGTGTGTGTGTGTGTGAAAAATATATATGTATATACAAGATAGGATAGATATACAGATACTTTCTCTTAGTTTGTTGAAAGGAGAGGTTTGTACTAAGATTGTTTAGACAAGATATCATGTCTCCATCTTGTCCCCTGAATAACTACTAGGAAGACAACAATATGCAATGTATTAATTATTGTAACTGTCATACTAACCTGTCTTGAAACTGTTTCATTGTTATTTTATCTTTTTTCTCATTAAAATGAAAAAATAGATAATATAGCAACCATTGTTAATTAACTATTCCTGTTTTGAAAATCTGTAACATCTGTATTGTTGTACCCTGTTTCTGTCATTTTTTCTATTTGTTTTTGCTTCTGTTTTCACTCTTCAAAATAAAATAAAATAACTGACAAAAAGAAGAGTAGGAAAGATATATGATGACCCTACCAGGCACTGTGGTTCTTTAATAGTGTCAGGAGATGCAGGTTGCCTGTACTTGTCCTTTACCTTGAAGGGAATGTCTTACCATGTATCAGATCATTTAACTACTAAAAATATGCCCAGTTTGGCAGACTCTGAAGTAGTTTTGGAACTTTTTGCCCTCTGCTCTACTTAGCAGGGTTTTTTTTTATCATGGCATTCACAATACTTGACATTTGTTACTTGTTAGACTTTGTTAATATGCTGCCATCAATATAGTTGACAAGCATGATGCTAAATGGAGCATTGAGATTATAAATTTCTTTCAAGCTGTATTGTGACAGAGAAGAGTTAACATAGCAATGGGGAAATGATTGATGTATGGTACTTTCCATTTCTAGAAAAAGTTAATTTCATTTCTTTTTCTTTTTTTTCTTTTTTTTTTGGTGGTACGAGGGATTGAACTCAGGACCTTGCACTTGCCAGGCAACCACTTATTCCACTGAGCCATCTCCCTGGCCCAAAGAAGGTAATTTCTTTTTTAAAAATTAATTTTACTGATACACTCCTGATATACAGAATGATCACATTCATCATAGGGAATTTTTACCTGTGTATAGTGTATCTTGATTCTTTTCTTTTACCCATTTCTCTTCCCTTCAAGCAAAAGCTTAGTTTCCATTTTTTTCTTCCTTCCCTTTTCCCTTCCTTACTTCCCCCTCCCTTGTTCACCATCCCTTTTGAACATTTTTTTCTCATTTTCCAATATCTACAATTATTTTTCTTCCTGCTTCACAATACCTACCAACAAATTTAGTTTCTCACACCAGAGAAATAAGGCAATATTTAAAAATATGTGTCCAACTTTTTTCACTTAAAAATATGGTTTCAGTGTGGATCCATTTACCTAATAAAGTCTCAAGTTTATCCTTCTTTATGGTAGATTACCAGTCAGTTGTATATGGAAGATGTACATTTTCTTCATCCATCCTTTGATGGGCATCTGGCTTGTTTTCCAAGATTTAACTGTTGCAAATTGCACTGCTGTAAACATGGGTACACATACATCTCTTTGGTCAGCTCTTTCAGGAAGACACCAAGAAGGGAAATACGTGGATCAAAGTATTTCGTCTGAGAAATGGCAGGAAAAAAATTTCCCACTTTGTGGATTGTCTCTTCACTTTTTTTGTGGCTTGTTTTGTAGCATAAAAGCTATTTGATGATATGAGATCCCAGTTGTTAATTCTTTGTAGTATCTTCTCTGTGATTGGGGATTTGTATATACATCCTGTATTAAATTATAAATTATATCCTGTATTAAATCTTTTCCCTTATAAGCCCTGACTATGACACAGGGTATCTAATTTTCACATGCAAAATATACTAGTGAACTAAATGTAATTATTTTATATCTTATGGTAAGTCTTGTCTATTATTTTCAGCACAGCTTTCCCTCTGTGTCTTTTTTCCTTTATCCCACTGATGCTAAGGTTCTTTTTAATCATTGCATAGATGTCTCAAGACATGATGTTTATCTGACATAAAACTACAACTCTTTTTCCATAGCTTATTGACCACTAAAATAATATACTTTCAATACTACTAGAGCTATTACATAAATCAGGATACTGCTTCCATCTTTGCCCTTTTCCAGTACTCCACAAATGAGGATGCTAGTTTATGATGCTACTGCACACCAGTTTTCAAAAATCTACATTATTTTACTATTAGTTATTACTGCAAATGGGCCAGGAACTGATGCAGCTCAGGAATCTTTCCTGAGTATGGGTTTGTCTTGTGAGGATCACATCCAGTTCAAAAGTCAGAAAAGACACTGAGATTGGGATTTGAGTGTGAAGAGTCTGAGATGTAATCCCAACACCAAGTACATGGAGAGTGCAGCCAGAGGACACAGAGATCACAATGCAAAATGTAACAGAACATCATACCAGAAGGTCATGTGACTAGATTTCCTTAGTGCCATTGTGAGTGAGCTGCTTAATACAGAGGGTGTCTGACTGGATCTATTTTCAGGGGCAGCCTTTCAAAGGGACTCAGAAATAACTGAGGAGGAGACAAGCTGAGTATAAAGACATTAGCAAAGTGCAGCAGACAGGGAGATTTTCTTTTCAAATTTTGAAACAGAATGTCAGAAAATTTAAATCTTTCCCCAAATTACTAGTTGCCACTAGAAAGGATGACTCACCCTGGGACACCCTGAGGTCTGTCTCCCACCTTTCCGTGAGTCACACCTCTGCCCAAGAAACTCAGAAAGACTAAACTGGGTTGTTGAGAGAAGAAACACAGCTTTATTTACTGCTTCAGACAATAAACAGTAGGCAGGGAAAGGTTAATAATGACAAAGTTCCTGATTCCCACAGGAGAGATTCTTGTATTCTTCTGTAAACTCATGGATTTGCTCAGTTTGGGTCATGTGCTAACATTTCTGCTGCCCAGGAACTCCACTTATATCATGCATGGAATTTTGACTTAGAAAGTTTTTCTTCAACTGATGAGTGAACCTCTCAGTGGCCTTGGGACCAGAACGTATTCGATGATACATATAAAGCCCCACAGTCAAAAAACAAATTGGAGCAGACAACAAAAATATCAGAACTTCTTTCAAGAACACTGTTTTTATTGGAGACGCTGGCCCGCTGTCCATGCTGCCTCCATACCCTCTGTGCAGACAGTTGGGCGGGGACCACCCATAAGCACAGTGACAGTGATGTTTGTTGTTGCAGGTGCCCTTCATGTTGCAAGTCTCAGAAAGGCAGTCTTGTGACAGGACGGACAGATTGACACACTTCTTATGAATGCAGATCTTTCCTGCTTCACAGGTGGTGCCGTCTTTGACTTCACCAGCATCAGCCATGCTCACGCCTTGGTGATGGCCGATGCTCCAGCATGTGACCCCACTGACATGAGTGCTCTGCAGAACAGAATGATCTGGGAGTGGGGGCATGTCTTCCACGCTTTCACACTGGACTCTCCCACAGAAGACGTCAGGCGTGTCGCATTTCAGGTACACAGTGCCATTCATGCCACAGTGGCCAAAGCGGTTTCCCCGAGAGTTAACTTCTCTATAACAAGTCTGAGATGCACTCCTCGCCCTTGGGCCAAAAATCGCCCTGCACTGTTGGTCATGGTGGTTACATTCCTTTCTGTAGCAGTAGGCATTACTGCTACAGGGAACCCCATCTTGCACATATGCGTCTTGTGGGCATTGGGGGGATGTCCCATTGCACCACTCTGGAAGGTCACATTCGTTGACCTGTTGTCTACACAGCTGCCCTGGCTGCACAAACTGGCAGTCTTTGCAGCACAACCCAAAGGCACATGCAGCCCCAGGCCTCAGAGTGCAGTTCGGCAGACAGCAGGGGTCGTGTTCGCACTGCTGCATGTCCCCACAGTCACACTGCTCTCCTTTTTCCACCACGCCATTCCCACAGCGCTTCAGCAGAAAGACTTTTGCTGTACTCGGGATATTGTGCAGACACGATCCTTGGTTTACAACAGTTTCCATAAAATCAAGATAGCTGCAGTTGGTGAATCGCTTTGCTTCTGGCACCCTGTAAGCACTCATGATGCAACCATCTTCCCCACAGGAACACGGTTTCTCGTCATGCACCATACCCAAAATATGACCTAACTCATGGGCCACGGTGTTAGCAAAGACAGACCAGGGGTCTCCCCTGAAATTACAAACTCCACAGTCAATAGGAGATTGACATATTCCTGCAACATAGGCCAGACCAAGTAGGTCTATGTGTGCACTTTGGATGAAAATGTGTGCGGCATCATGCTGTAGCTGGGCAAGACTGATCTTTTTCCACTGAGAGAAATCGTCCAAAACCTGGTCTATTGTTGTCATCTGGAAAACATTTCCTTTATTCCAAATCTCAATTCCAATCAAATTCACGTAAGTGTGCAGCTGACGATACATGGAATCCACTACATTGACAACAAAGAATACATCCTCTTGAACTTTTGACAAGTTGCCCTGCGAGTGAATAAAGAAATCATGGTCTGTCACTATAACCAGCTCCAAAATCCAGATGTGGGTCCACTGGGCACCAACAGAATCATGCTTCGGAACCAAGTTCTCACCCACTGCAAGCTCCAAGTGCTGGCGTACAATTTTCTCCTCTGTTAAACCACACTTTGCATTTGGGGATTGTGTCTCATTACCATTTAACCTGTAAACCAGATGTTCAAATACAGTTGAGTGCCTGATGGGCTCGATTTCATACATGAGGCCATTTACTTGTAACACTCCCCGTAGGCCCCCGAAACAGGCACTGAAAACAGCCAGAGACTGGGGTGCCCCTTCCACATACCCATGGTAGTAACAGTCCTCAGGGAGGAAGGGCTGGTCCTCCACAAGGGCATGCTGGTCTGTGTAGGTGAGGATAGGAAGGTGTGTGGAAACCAGCAGCTTCTTGACCCTCATGTGAACAACATGTCTCTGGCCCCCAAACAGCAGGCTATAGGAGAGCCATCCTGGAGTCTTCGTACCCCTGCTCCTGCCAGTCACTTTCAAGGGTGTCACCACTTCTGGAGGACTGAGGCGTTGGGTGGGTCCAGGCCATGATGGGCTGCAAGAGCACAGAGTTGCTTCAAGCCACAGCCACAGAAGAGTGGCTCTCATGGGTGTTCCTTCCTCTGCAGCCCCATGGTGGAACTGCTCATGCCATGCAGAAAAGCCCAGAGGATGAGGCGCTGCTGGCTTGCTTTTTCCCTGCGGTGCTGAGAGCACAGGGCTGACCTCTATGCATCCTGGTCCTGGCAGAGCTGAGCCAGCATGGCTAGCATGCTAAGAGGGAAAACAAAGAGCAAAGTGAGACATGTGGTAGGACTGAATGAGCAAGTCAGGCAAGGAGAAGAATGGAGTGATTCAGGATGGAAGAATTCAAGAAAATTATCTGGGTTTGCCATGAGTAAACAGGCATAGAGCTAAGGAGGGCAGAGATAAGACAAACTGGGCTTCATGCTGACAGTTGTGCAAGGTGGAAGATGGGCACCTCTGCAATTGTCTTAGTCTTTCTGGGTGGAGGAAAGCAGAGAACCTCAGGCACAGGGTGACTCTGTGACACCGCGCTGCTGCATGCCTTTGGTGCACAGACATCTGCTGAAGGATCTGCACGTCCAGAGCTGGAGACATCAAAATAATGACAGGTCTTTGTCAATTTGCATCATGTCATGCTTTCCATTAGTTTTTTATCTATTTGGTGTCTCCTCATTTTATTTTTCTTTATCCACAAATTTATTAGAGTGCAAGGTCCTTGATCATAGCAATTATCACATATGTTCATTTCATGTCTTCCTAAACATCTTGCAACACTGGAGATATAGCTCAGCTGCACAAGCTCAGCTGCCTGGCATGTGCAAGGTGCTGAAGTCAAATTTGCTGTATCCCCCCCCCAAAAAGTCCTAAACTATGTGAAAGTAAAATAAAATTAAATAAGCAAAGCATTTTACATAGTTCTGTGTACAAAGAAAGATGGGAAAAAGTAGAGAGAAGTTAAGTACACGTATTTGTATGATTATAATTATTAGAAAAGGGAACAAATGCAGAAAAATCTCAAGTCCTCTAAGCATATTAGGAGTACAGTGCCATTCTACTAGGAAGATATCAAAGAGAAAAGGCATTGCCTTCAAAGGGAAGTAAGTACCCATGCAGCTGAAAGACCCCAGGAAAAGAAACATTGTCTTATTAAGGGAAATTCATTCCATAGTCTGCTATATTGTTTTATTTTATTATTTTACATCCATGTTTGCAATACATGCAATGTAGACTCATCTTCAAGAGTTGGTATATGCACATAACACAACTTATTTCTGGTTATTTTTGTCTTCTTCTTTCCCTTCTCTAATACCCCTTTCCCTATTTTCATTCTTTTCGTTATTAATGTTAGGTCCCGTTTTTGGATACAAAGTTTATGTTCATTGAGGTTATTAGGTTCCTGTACCAAACATATCTTTATTCTACTTGTTTTCCCCTTTCCAAGCCCTTAGTTTCTAGAATTCCTTCCCTCACAGAATATGACTTGGATAGCCCCTGTCTAGGTATCTCTCCCAAACAGTTGTAGCCATCATACCACAGTGGTTCATGTATACCAATGTGTATAGCACCACAGTTCAAAGCTAAATCCCAGGGGCTGGAGAGATGGCTCAGTGGTCTAAAGCACCTACTTGGAACAAGCTTGGCAAAGCACAGGGACCACAGTTCAATCCCCCAGCACCACATGCCAGCCAGCCCAGCCCCCTGGTGGGCTGAGCTGGCCACACACACACACACACACACACACACACACTAAATAAATGTAATAAATAAATAAACAGCGGAATATATTAAAAATTTTTTTTTAAAAAAAAGCTAAATCCCAGAAGTAGCCTATGGACCCATCAACAGACAACTAAATAAAGAAAAGTATGGTACCTACACATAATGGAATAACACTTGGCTATGGATATGACAAATCTGAGACATTTGTAGGAAAATGGATGCTCCTGGAAAATATATCACTAAGTGAAATAAACCAGGCATACAAGTGTGTCTTTTAGTGACTCTCCTTTACAAAGAGTCAGTACCTGCTACATTAGAACTGCCAGGGAAGGTTTCCAGTGAGTGCTCAATTATGTTCACTGCCTCTATTTGAAAGTGAGGAATCTTGGCCCCTGGCACACAGTCTACCTGGCAACACCCATTCATTGCTTTCCTTTGTCATTATGAAAGCACTGACATGGGGCCGGGGAGATGGCTCAGTGGAATAAGCACTTGCCTGGCAAACACAAGGGCCTGAGTTCAATCCCCAGTTCTGAAAAAAAAAAAAAAAATATATATATATATATATATATGATGAAAGCACTAACATGTTTAGAACACAGAAAGTGCAGAATGCTGTACCAGGGACTAGGGAAAGAAAAAGCACGGAATGTTAATATTGTTTGGTGCAGAAACCTGGAACAAGAGCAACAATAAGCTCTAGGAGCCAGTAACACTCTACTCAATACTTTGCTTTTAATAGATTAGGTAACATTCTTTCTATATGCCGAGGATAATGTCCATAGATTTCATCACCCTCTCAACTGAACCAATGAGAGTAAATGGCAGCAAGACTAAACACAGACAAGTAAACTGACCTGTGTTGTGTATTATGTTGCAAACCAGATTAATCCCTGGCTACATACTTTAGGGCTCAGTGGTCCTCTTACTGGATAGACCTCCATAAGGACTCAAAGAAGGACTGAACAATGCATTTCATGAAACTCCATGATTGTAATTCATGAACAGGAGACTTGCTAAAGGCTTTCTTTACTTGAGAATAAAGTATGTAATTATTGCCCTGACTACTAGTAACATGTAAAGCTGAATTTTTCCTAAACAGTAATAAAAACTACCTGTGGATCTGCCATAGAAAATACTGTACTGGGGCTGGCAAATAGCTCAGCGGATTAAAGTGCCTGCTTAGGCAGATGCAGTGGCCGATGTTTGATCCCCAGTGTATGGTGCTGACCCTGCCCCTGGGGTGCACTGAGATGGTGATTGAGACTGGATGTGGTGGGGTGTGCCTGTAATTCCAGCCTTTGGGAGGCTGAACACAGATGAATCACTACGAGTCCTATCTATGTAGTGTGACCCTGTAGGCCCTGTACTAAAAATACAAAAAAAAAAAAAAAAAAAAAAAAAAAAAAAAACTGTATAAAAGTAGGATGGCAATGGAGTCTAGAGTTACTCAGGAGTAAATAAAGAAGCAGAGAAGCCAATTGACCATAAGACCTGTCTGCTGTTGCTCTGAGTCTTTACCACCACCACCAGTCAGCACCACCTTATGGACAAGTTCTCCTGTGGCAACGGCCTGTCCCATGCGCTGATGTACACCTGGATGGATACAACCTTGAAAGAACTAACTAGCTTAGTGAAAGAAGTCTACCCAGAAGCTAGAAAGAAGGGCAGACACTTCAATTTTGCAATTGTTTTCAAGGATCTTAAAAGACTGGGCTATCGAGTTAAGGAGATTGGCAGCACCATGTCTGGCAGAAAGAGGACAATGATCCCATGACTCTGCAGTCACAGAAGTTCCAAATAGGCGATTACTTGGACATAGCGATTACTCCTCCAAATTGGGCATCACCTCCTTCAAGGCTTATAAGACAATATTAAATGTTATTTACTTTCTCTCAAATTTATTTTTCACCCAACTGTGTAAAATAAACTTACATACTTTTTCCTCTCCTGATTTTTCCACGAAGCCTTTAAATTCTAAACAAATTCTAAAACATCTATTTAGGAATTAGACTTGGTGTACTAGGGTATGAATATTAATAGAGAGTCTGTAAAATATGAAGGAAAGTGCTCTCAGCATACTGTGAAAAACTGCACTGTTAAATCGTAAGTGTACAATCATCCTGAGTGCAAGAGTTCATGGAAGCACAGGGACAGGCCTTTAGTTCATTTTGGGGTTATACTAGGTAGAGGGTATTTTAAACTCCAGAGGGGCAGAACAACAACAAAAAACCCCATGGAATTATATGAAACTGGGCACAAATTTGTGGTGTGGAGTTCAGCTTTTTTGAGTTTGTTTTCTGATGCTGGCGATTGAACCCAAGGCCTTAGGCAGTGTTAGGTAAGTGTTTCACTACTAAGCTACATCCAGCCCCAACAGAGGCTTTTTAGAATAATGTGAGTCAAGGAAAGTTCAGGAAGCTGCTTGGTTGGAAGAGATTGGTCTGTTGATCAGGGTGCATTGACACAAGGTTAGTAGGCAGGCATTGGTATGTATCTGACCTGAGAGGCAGTGTAGGATATGGATTAAGACCAGTGGGACAAAGCAATTAAGCCTGACTCTGCCAGACACTCTAGGACACATTGCTTGAATCAAGTTTGTTTTTGTTTTTAATAGAAATACTAGCCTGTAGAATTGTTTGTTAAATTTTGTAAAGGCTTACAATAATGCCTGACAAAAAACAGTAAATGTTAGTAATAAGTCTGGAACCTAGCTCTAGTGGCTCTGTGATGCTGCTTTACCCTGTGCAACCCTTAAGTGTTTATTCATTTAGACTAGATAGATGGACTTGACTTTTAGATGTAGAACTCTTGATTGTTTGGAGACCAGAAATAACTACCTTCCCATTTGATGGGGGGATGGAAAATATGATTCACTATTTGGGTCTAATGGGTAGGAACTAAGAAAAGGCCACTTTTCACATGCTGTGAATTTTTACAGAGGTTCTCATAGAATCCCCAAGTCCTTCTTCCACATAAATTAGTTTGGTTGGTTTTCTCAATTCCACTTTGCTTGGTTCCAGGTGGAATTTTTCCTTTATAGATAGGCTAAAGTTTTCTGCCAAAAGTATAGATAAAGGATGCTGTACATAATTATTGAGCTGATTCCTTAGACATAAAGTAAATATTGTCACAACAACAAAAAAGGAAATACTGTATAGTGAAGTAATTCTTGTAAGAGACATAAATGAAGAATCAACTTAACACACTACAGGAAAATGGAATATAAAAGAGTGTCAGAGGGCCAGCCAAATAACTCAGTGGATTAAAACACCTGCAAGCAGGCCAGCCCTGCTTCCGGGGTGCACTGAGATTGCAATTGAGACTGGGCGTGGAGGCACGCACCAGTAATCCCAGCTCTTGGGAGGCTGTAAACAGGCAGATCGCTATGAATATGATCTAGTAGTAAGACCCTGAACACCTTGTAGAACCATTCCTAAAATACAAAAAAAAAAAAAAAAAAAAGGTCAGGACTTAAGTGCCATAAATACAGAGGATGATCAAATTGTGTGATGTTTATCATACATTCACTTTGAAAATTTATGCTTCTTTATGATTCCTTTGCTAAATCAACATTATTTTTGGTACTTTTTGAATTGGAAATTTGATCTTCTTTTACTTAAGTGGGCAAGTGTCCAAAAAGTTGATTCCATCCCTGACTGTGCTGGGAAGATTGACAGAGGTAAATAGAGAGACTCAGAAGCACAGTTTCTCATAGTGTCTTCAGTCACACTGCTGTGAGGCTTTATGTAGGAGATATGAATAAGGAAGAGGCCTAAAGAAGTACCAATCAAATCTTGGATCATGAATCCATTTCCTGTTGGTGCTTCATCAACCATGATTCAAGTTCCCCTCAACACCTATATCTCCCTCTCTACTGTACACTGTCCATTATGGTCTCAGGGAAAGTCTCCTCCCTCCAGATGTAGCCCCTGGCCTTCTCTGTTAGAGCACATTTAGCTCTGCCTAGAGGACTGTTCCTAATAATCTTACCCATTCTCTATAACATTTCTGTGATCTGCTTTAGTGGGCAACTAGGATAACCATCTCACTCCTCCTAATATTTATTTATTTTGGCGGAACTGGGGATTGAACTCAGGCCTTTGTACCTGCCAGGCAAGTGCTTATTCTACTGAGCCATCTCTCTGGCCCCACTATCCTGATTTTAAAACCCACTGTCTTGCCTCCAACTCAGTCCTCTTAAAGTCCAAATGGTTGGACACCCTCTTCACAAAATCCTATACTGTTTTCCATTGCTCAAATCATTCACACTTTGAAAACACAAAACAAAAACAAAATGAAGAAATTTGTTTCATTGCTGTTTTATCTTTTCTCTCATTAAAAAGAAAAAGAAATTTTGTTTCATCGTCAACATTTCTCTCATTGCCAACTTAGGTCTTGATTTGAAGTTGATCAGTCCTTGACTTACCAGCAGAGGAAACAGCTTCTCCTGCCCTTTCTGTCTCTTACTGGCTTGTGTGATCCTGATCAACACACAGAGATGTGCAGCTGAGACCACACAGAGCAACAGCCCTCACCCCTTTGTCTTTCACGTGACTAAGTTCTATATGTAGCTGCCTAGCAACAAGAACCTCCCACCTGCACATGACTACCTCTCAGGAAACCTTGTTCTGACTCTGCTATTTCTACAGTTTGCTTTCTGCATTCAGTCTAATGAGAGAGGAATTCAATAGGCTACTCAGCTCCACCTTATGTTCCCCTACACTCATTTTAGTACATGTTTGCAGTACAAAGGTTTACACTCTGCCTGGGGAGTTGGTACAAACACAGAATATGTAATAATTCTAATTTTAATCCCCTCTCCAATTTTTGGTCTCATTCCCATATGCAAAATAATTGTTCTAAGTATTTATTATATACCTTTTATTTTGCTCATTCTTCATATTTTTTATTTTTCATGTAAGACAAACAATGCAATGTTTAAGCTTGTGGGTCTGGTTTTTCTCACTTAACTTAATGGTCTCAGGGTACATCCACTTTCCTACATATGATAGAAGTATTCTTCTTAGTAGCAGAGTCAGACTGTACTGTGAAGGAATACCACATTCTTTTTATCAGTTCATATACTGGTGGATGTGTAGGCTTCTTTCAAGATTTATCTGTTGAGAACTGTGCTGGTATAGTTGTGTGTATGGATGTATCATTGTAATAGGGTGCTTTAACTCATTTGGGAATAGCTGGTCAAATAGAATTTCTTGCTTAAGTTATTTAAGGTTCCTCCATACTGACTTTATAATAGGCATCCACATTTACATTTGCATTAATATTATAAAAAGGAAATACAATGGCCCATTAGTAATTGTTCTCATCTTATTTCCTGATGGTAGCCATTCTTTCTGGAATAAGATGAAATCTAAGTATTGCTTTAATTTCTTTAATAGCCAGATATGTTGAACATTTTATCAAGTATTGTCCATCTGATTTTTTTTCTAAAAATTGTCTGTTCATTTCAGTTGTCCATTGTTAGTTCAATCATTTATTTGGGGGGAGATAGTGCTTTTAGTCCTTTAAAGATTGTACATATTTGTCCTATCTCTAAAGAATAGCTGACAAAAATTATTTTCCTATTCTTTTAAAAATTTTTTATTCATTTTAATGAGAAAAAGCAATGAAAGAGTTTCACAACAGATTAGTAGGACAGTTACAATAATTAATACATTGCATATTGCCTTCATAGTAGTAGTTATTCATAGTACAAGATGCAGACATGATATCTTGTCTAAACAATACTGGTACAAACCTTTCTTCTCATTGAAATAAGAGAAAGTAGTTGTATGTCCATCCTAACTATATATTCACTACAAAATGGTCCTTTATTTATACCACCCTTTTTTGTTTTGTTTTGTCAGAGATAGGAGTACCATTTCTGTTAGAGAAGTTGTATTTGGAAAGGGTTTTTTGTTTTTTTTTGTGGAACCAGGGATTGAACTCAGGCCCTTGTGCTTATTCTACTGAGCCATCTCCCCGACCCTTTGGAGAAGTTTTTAAAGAAACTTTTCTTACTTGATGCCAGTTCAAATATTGTAGATACTTGATTCTTTTATATTAATTTTATTGAGAAACAAATAGCAGTAAGACAGTTTCAAAACAGGTTAGTAGAACAGTTACAATAATTAATAAATTGCATATTGCTGTCTTCCTAGTAGTTACTCATAGTACAAGATGCAGATATGATATCTTCTTTAAACACTCCTAGTTCAAAACTTTCTTTTCATTGAACTAAGAGAAAGTAGCTATATATCTATGCTATTTTGTATATACAGATACATATATATATATATTTTTTTTTTACTACAAAATGGTCCTTCATTTATATCCCCCTTTTTTGTTTACTTTTGTCAGAAATGCATATTCCATTGCCATTCAAATATTGTAGGTGCGTGAATTCAGCAAAGTAATCCAATATAATCCAGTAGTCCACAACACTAGTGCATTATCTGCAGGACTAGCAATGTCAGAAGTTGTTGGCTTGAGCCTTTTAAAGCTTAGCATATTAATATGACTTTGCTTTTTATACCTTGTTTTTGTACTTTTCTGCTGGATGGTTAAGACCAAGGTATAGCAAGACCTATATAACAAGAAATGTAACTTTTGTATCTAACAAAGTCAGTCAAATTCCCTCAGGATTTACCCTGAAATCCTTTACAGAAGTTTATAGATCTTTTGTCAGTGTCAGCCATGTGGATGAGTCATGGCCATTGCTTGACCAATTTGCTATCTGTGAAAGCCTGAGAGAGTGTTTTCTCTCCATGTAATTCTCCTTAGGCACACTCTACATTGTCGATCACTTTCTTTGGTAGCCCCATAATTTCCTTGATCAGAAAATTTTCTAACACCACTGAGTTACAGGATGTTATAGTACAGGTTCTCTTATGTCCTTAGTCCTCACTGACCTTGAAGGGTCAGGGCCAAAATGTTGGCTATCCTTGTACCCCTTCTTTTTCTCTAATGTTTTGGTCTGAAAACTTAAGTTGTCAACCTTCCAGAAGAAAAGCTTAATGATATTATTGCTCTGTTACACAGGCAGTTGAGCTTGACATCACTATCTGCCTGAATATCAAACACCTTAGACATAACATGGAACAGGTATTTTCCATCAATCTTTGATATGATAAACTTGAAATCCCTATAAATGTGAAAAAAATAAAAATAAAAATAAAAAATAGGGGCTGGGGAGATGGCTCAGTGGAATAAGTGCTTCCCTGGCAAGCACAAGGGCCTGAGTTCAATCCCTGGTTCCACCAAAAAAAAAAAAAGAAAAAAAAAAAAAAAAAAAAGGTAAAAACAATAGAAATAAACAGTTACACATTTTTACACAGACATTTAGAAATCTAACCATATACAACATTTTAGCATGACAGTCTTATGACTTTTTTGCCTCTTTTTTCTTTTCTTTTTTTTTAAAATATATGCTTGAGAGAGAGTACAGCAGTAATTCATAATGACATTAGAAGCAGTACACATATAGGAGACCAGAATGACAGGTACCAAGAATGGCCCTGGTATTACACATTGCTATCTTCAATGCAGTTGCTTAGTTCACAGTTATCAGCATATATAATTAGTCAGAGTGAGAATCCTACCAATTAACTGCTAGTTTCAAAAACCTGATGGAGAGTCTCAGGATCATTGCCTTAACCATCTTGTGTATATAAATATATGGTTTTTGTCCCTGGCATGCTTCCTAGCTTTTCTCCTTGCTCTTCCTTCATTGTTTAATCCTTAAGTTTTCACCTCCCATTTAGTTGTGTTATACCTTTCAGTTTTTATTTTGTCTTTTGAGTTCTTACACTAGGGAGACTATATGATATTTACACATGTGGGTCTGGTTTATTTCACTTACGAGTATATCTTCCAGTGGCATCCACTTACATATGAAGGCTTCGAGTTTGTCATTCCTTTTTTCAGAGTAATACTCCATTGTATAAAAGCACTACAACTTTTCATCCATTCCTCAGGTGACAGGCATTTTGGTTGCTTCCAAGATTTGGTTATCACAAATTGTGCTGCTATAAACGTAGGTGCACATATACCACTATAATATGATGTTTTCAGTTCTTTTCTGAAAATTCCCAGTATGGGGATAGCTAGGTTGAATGGGATTTCAAGTTCTATTTATTTGAGAACTCTCCACACTGATTTCCACAATAGTTGCACAGTGTAGGTTCCCATCAGCAGTGGAGAAGGGTTCCTTTCCCCCACAACCTCTCCAACATTTGTTGTTGGCTGATTTCTTTATGATAGCCATTCTTTCTGGGATGAGATGATATCTCAACAGTTTTAATTTGCATTTCACAAGTGGCTAGTGATGTGAAGCATTTTTTGATGTATTTATTTGCTTCTTGCATACCTTCCTCTGAAAAGTGTGTGTTCATCTCAGATGCCCATTTTTGGATTGTATCTTAAAATTTGAGGGCCCTAATGTTTTTAGTTCTTTATAAAGAACTACATAGAAGACTTTTGTGTGAGTGTTTATTTGTTATTGGTAATTTCTTTTAACGTGCAAAAACTTCTGAATAAGAGGAGATCCCAATTGTTAATTATTTCAAGTATTACCTGTGCAGTTTGATTTTTGTTCATGAACTGTTTGCCTACCCTATGTCTTCAAGATTTCCTCCTACTTTCTCTTCAAAAAATTTAGTGTTTCTGTTTTAATGTTTAAATCTTTAATCCATTTTGACTTTAGTTTAGTGCATGATGATAGACCTTGGTCAAGTTTTAGTTTTCAGCATGTAGAGAGCCAGTTTTTCCAGCACCATTTGTTAAAGAGGCTATCTTTCTTTCTGTAGGCATGTTTGGCCCCTTTGTCAAAGATAATGTGGCTGAGTATGTTTGTAGTTTTTTCTGCATCTTCTAATCTATTCCATTGATCCTCAGGTCTGTTTGCCACTACCATGCTGATTTTATCAAAGTAGCTTTGTAGTATAATTTCAAGTCAGGAATTGTAATGCCTCCTGCCTTGTCTTTGTTGCTCAGGATTGCCTCTGCTATTCTGTTTTTTCTGGTTCCAAATAAGTTTTAGGAATGATTTCTCTAGGTCTGTGAGGTATATTGGTGGTAGATTGATAGGGATTGCATTAAATCTGTACAATAATTTTGGGAGTATGACCATCTTCACGATGTTGGTTCTTCCTATCCAGGAGCATGGAATATCTTTCCATTTTATGAAATCCTCTACATTCTCTTTTTTCAGAGTACTGTAATTTTCCTTGAAAAGGTCTTTGACTTTTAATTGGGCTAATTCCTAAGTATTTCATTTTCCGCGGTGCTGTTGTAAAAAGTATTGTTTCTCTAATTTCCCTCTCAGTGTGTTTGTTATCTGTGTAGAGGAATGCTATTGACTTATGGGTATTGACTTTGTATCCTGCTATGCTACTGAATATGTGTATTAATTCTAGTATCTTCTTGGTGGAATTTTTTATGTCTTCCAAATAGAATATCATGTCATCTGCAAATAATGATACTTTAAATTCTTCTTTACCTATTC